TTTACTCACCTAAGTATTATGTCATTGAGTAAGTTTACTAAGCAGGTATGTTCTGCCTTATGTCATACCTAATCAAAACCAACTTAAATATAAGGGAAATGATTGCATAAAAAAATCAGTCATCCTATACCGACAGTACAGCACTTGTCCTATACTAACAGTACAACTTGATAGCAATCGATGTCTTTTTCATTACGCAAGCGATTTTTATAAGTATATTCCGTACACATTTGTTTTGAAACTCTTTGCGTATCTAACAGTTTAAATGCATAATTGGTACGCAACAATTATTTTTCAATGTGTAATTCGAAATTTTCTATGCGTATTTTACCCGGATACGCAGCTTATCTGGGCCTCTGTGCCTTCATCATACTTACCTAATATACACAACCTTATACAGTGGTAGACACAACACAACTGTCTAACAATAATTCACTGTAATGTGTGTAAAAGGTATTGCATATGGCTATTGGTGAGTGAGTATTTTTTATGCCACTTCGCAATATTCCAGCAATATCACAGCAGGGGACACCAGAAATGGGCTTCACACATTGTACACAGCCCTGCGGCATGAAGAGTGGAAGCTTTTACCTCTACTCTACTTCCCATATAGCTCAGAAACAGGGCCTCCATTTCACGCTACCCACTTCTTTCAAATATGTGCATATTTCAGTCATTTTACTCACCTAAGTATTATGTCATTGAGTAAGTTTACTAAGCAGGTATGTTCTGCCTTATGTCATACCTAATCAAAACCAACTTAAATATAAGGGAAATGATTGCATAAAAAATCAGTCATCCTATACCCGACAGTACAGCACTTGTCCTATACTAACAGTACAACTTGATAGCAATCGATGTCTTTTTCATTACGCAAGCTATTTTTATAAGTACATTCCGTACACATTTGTTTGAAACTCTTTGCGTATCTAACAGTTTAAATGCATAATTGGTGCGCTTAAACAATTTTTTTCAATGTGTAATTCGAAATTTTCTATGCGTATTTTACCCGGATACGCAGCTTATCTGGGCCTCTGTGCCTTCATCATACTTACCTAATATACACAACCTTATACAGTGGTAGACACAACACAACTGTCTAACAATAATTCACTGTAATGTGTGTAAAAGGTATTGCATATCGCTATTGGTGAGTGAGTATTTTTTATGCCACTTCGCAATATTCCAGCAATATCACAGCAGGGGACACCAGAAATGGGCTTCACACATTGTACACAGCCCTGAGGCATGAAGAGTGGAAGCTTTTACCTCTACTCTACTTCCCATATAGCTCAGAAACAAGGCCTCGGATTACGACTGACTGACTGAGTTTGGTTTTAAGCCGCTTTTAGCAATATTCCAGCAATATCACGGGGGGGACACCAGAAATGGGCTTCACACATTGTACACAGCCCTGCGGCATGAAGAGTGGAAGCTTTTACCTCTACTCTACTTCCCATATAGCTCAGAAACAGGGCCTCGGATTACGACGTTTCTGCAGGAGTATGACTATCATAAACAAATACCGCACATTCAAATAGACTAGACTCCTTGACCAAGACATGTTAATGAACAGAAAGTGTGAGAAAATCACCATCAAGTATTTGAAGTGTTATAACTGAAGGTAGTTAAAATAGTGTTGAAGATGGATCCATACACTTCTGGAATGCAGAAACTTGAACTTGCTGTAGACATGTACCAGTCTGCCAGTCCAGAGGCCCAGATAAGCTGCGTATCCGGGTAAAATACGCATGAAAAATGTCCAATTACGCATTGAAAACTAATTGTTGCGTAGCAATTACGCATTTAAAATGTTACATACGCAAAAAGTTTAAAACAAATGCGTACGGAATATATTTATAAAAATCGCTTGCGTAATAAAGAGACATTGATTGCTATCAAGTTGTACTGCTAGTATAGGACAAGTGTTGTACTGTCGGTATAGGATGAGTGATTTTTTTATGCAATCATTTCCATTATATTTAAGTTGGTTTTGATTAGATATGACATAAGGCAGAACATACCTGCTTAGTAAACTTACTCAATGACATAATACTTAGGTGAGTAAAATGACTGAAATACGCACATATTTGAAAGCTGTGGGTAACGGAACATGAAATACCCACTCAACATTCATAATACCCACTCCAAAAAAAATACAGTGGGTACAGTACCCACATGAGCTAAATCTTATCTGGAGCTCTGCCAGTCACAGACCATAATCAGTCATCACTGGAATTATAACCCATGGCAAGTAGAACATTGTTGTAAAACCATTGTTTCCATGCTGTGATGCCAGCTAATAGTACCAGCATGTACTTGGGTCGTCTAAATGCTAAGCACTCAGGCACATTTTGTTTCTAAAAATATTTCTGTGATTGTAAATGACCTTTGTTGGATAAATAAATACGACAAAACTAATATTACTATAATCATAAGACATCTGTTCTGAAAGCAGATTCCATAGTACAATTCTGTTCAAATGACAAACAACATTAATGCTATGGATAACCATTATGCTGACTGACTGACTGACTGACTGACTGAGTTTAATTTTACGCCGCTTTTAGCAATATTCCAGCAACATCACGGCGGGGGACACCAGAAATAGGCTTCACACATTGTACCCATGTGGGGATTCGAACCCGGGTCTTCGGCGTGACGAGCCAACGCTTTAACCATTAGGCTACCCCACCGCCCCGGATAACCATTATACAGGTATGAAACAAAGAGCACTTCATGTGTTAAACACCACAGTGACAGAATTTCAGATTGGTTCAAATTCGGCCAGTTAAAAATATCAAAACATTTTTTCAAAAATAATATACCAGGATATCCAATTAAAAGTGACAAAATCATCAAGTTGTCCCCTTGTTATTTATCTCTAGCAAAATGAAAGGTCAGTACCAGTAACAATATATATTTGATGTCATAAACATCTATGTTATAGTCATACTTATAGTCTTTTGGCTGATTTCATATATACAGAAAACAAATTTCTTTATTCTTATTTATTAATTTTGTATGTTATTTTATCTCATCTGCGTCAATTCTGAAGCTATTATTATTCTAACCAATATTGGCGGAAGTCCACATTCTGTTGACAGACTAGACATAAACGCATTTGTTAAAGTTAATTCCCTGCTTTTTGTCAACTGACAAGTATAAAAGCTACAAATGATACTTAAAATAAATATGTAATAATTATGTCATGACCTCTACTCTTCAGTTAATAGGTCTACAGACAGATAATCAAGAGAACCACAGCCTGGTAAATGTGTACTGATAACAACAGGAATATAACAATAATAGATCTTGTAATAAAGTCATAATACATTGTTCAAAATTAAACATCAAAGTCGAGGCATCATGACGACATTACAACGTCATCGCACTAACAGAAGCAATGCTCAACCCTAGAGCCACACAATTTCAAATAATGCTCAACCCTAGAGCCACACCAATTTCAAATACATTTCAGTAATAACATCAACCATTAAACCAGTCATAATGCATTGTTCAAAATTAAACAAGTCGGTGTATCCTTCTATTTGGAAATTTAAGGACATCAATTCAAACACTCACTATATGCAGCAAACCTCAACCTCACTATATGCAGCAAACCTCAACCGTAGAGCCACACCAATTTCAAATACCTTTCAGTAATAAAATAAATCATTAAACCTTAAGTAATGAATCCCCAAATGGACAAAAATATCTAAAATCTAATCTATGATTGATCAACCTTGCCCCTCAAGGCTTACCCAACCCCTACGCTCCCCAATGGTTCCCCACGAACAGTAAGGAGTACTAGAGAAAGGACCTAAACATACACATTGCACATTGTAGCGTTCATTCTATCCCAACTCAATGTCAATCTTGTGAGTGAAAATATCTTACTTCCAAATCGATCTATTTTTCTTGAGTACAATGCACAAGGTACTTGAACCGAATTCCAACATTTAGCATGCCTTTATCATAAAATTAATCAATAGACTTCTTCATAGACTTCAAGTAGACCAGAACATCAGTCACTACACTCCACCTCGCCAGCTTTCTCGGAGCTGTCATCTATACTATGTTCATTTGTAAATGTATATACAACAGTTGTTTTAAACGTAGTCAGATATATTGCACGGATAACATGAATTAATTACACATCTTCAAAATGTAATGAATCGTAATAAAAATTAACTGACAGAAATGAAATATGCGTGTGTTCTAAAAATATTTATCATAATTGGACGTGTGTGACACACAGACATATTATCATGTTACTATTTGTCATTAGCCTCATTTTTCAAACTGTATTGAATGTGGGAAAAACATACACCACAAAATCAATGCCAACAAATCTATTGTAGCATATGTCATGTTTGATTAAATTTTTCAATGGTATAGTGTAATTAATATCATATTCCATGTGAGCTATGCGTGACTAGGAACTAAAACATTTTTGCGTGTCGTACTAACTCTATTTTGTTTATATATCCGTTCACGCCATTTATTCCCCGGCCAGTTTCGCTGCCGAAAGAACATTGCTTGTAAACATTCCGAGTTAAGAGGCGTCAACACGCAGTGGCATTTTCATCATACCCGTAAATATGATATGTCTTTTATTCCACGGCACGGTGTGCATAATATTGTTATACACCAGCCAGGGACCGCTCTGCACGACCCCCACCGTCGCACTGAGGGGGGTGGGGGAGCAAGAGATTTTATATCGCTCTCCTCCTGTGCACATGGCGGGTAATTGTCCACAGATGTTGGACAGCTGGTCTCACAATGTATATCATTTTACAACAACATATTCTGCGGGAAATCCAAAGAGAATGGGAATTTTACAACATGAGACATCCCATTTTCGTTATAAACTGTTATTGTACGATCGAGCACCGATGATGTCACAACCATTGGTTCCATCGTTGGAGAAATGGTAAATCACAGAATATGCAATCCGGTAAATGACAGAGTGATAAATAAAATGTGTTGATACTCACTTTGGCCGTCAAACTTCCTGATGATTGTGTCTATGAAAATGTTTGGCGGGGCCACATGTCCTCGACGCACCGGCATTTTAAACCCTTTTTTCCCGCTACATTATATATACTGGACTATCGTACATCCTCCAAAATGGCTGAGATCGTTCTCTCCTGTGGCGGTTACAGTAAAACGACGATAGTCTTGGCACAAATATATATATTTTAAAGGGCTAGACTCCAAGGCAAGTCCACATCTACTGCATGTAGTTAGCCGAGACTGTGGAACATTGCACGCGACATATGAACAAGGATTGGCACAGTCGTCGCATTTCTCATTTAGCGTATGGCGTCTGCTGAAACTGGCGCTTCACAACCTCGTGTAAATAATGTCGATCCGCACTCGACCGCATCACGGAACTACTTCGAGAGAGATTACTCCGCCAGCAGCCGATGCCATGAACGTAGAGATGGCGAAGTGTCAACAGCAGGGCCTGCAATTCATGTTGCAAAACATAGAGTCGTCAGACGGGCATTTCACATCGACAAGATATGTTATTGACAATGTTCCACAAAACTGACTCTCGTCGAAATATCGATTGATTGGGCTTTCACGTGAGGATAGCCGTCTGGTCCGATGGAAGTGACAGTCGAAAGAAGCGCTCTTCCTGCTAACGAGGTAGTTTGGCAGCAGCGATGGGATGTGTCCTGGAGAAGCGCTTAGATATGTTCAGACCACTGCCATTATTGTTATGCAACCTTTCGTATCCCGTGTCTAGACCCTCATACATCGTGACAGCTATTGAACGCCAAATCGGCCACGCCCAGAATCGATACAGTCTCATTAGCCGCAGATCTATCACGGATGGCGTTTTAGCGGAGTTTACAAAAAACACCGGGCGCACCCAATGTTTTAGAAGACTGAAGAGGTTGTGATAATTCGGTGGAAAGCTTCAGTTTGATCAAAAATACGGCTGAAACCTAATCCCAGACACACAATAGATCACCTATCGTTGCTAATACCCATTCGACGAGAAAAACATATTTATTCTACATTACTGATTATTTGCTATTGCCAGTACTTCCATATTTCTGTCTTGTCCTTTCAGCTAAATCTATCATAGTGGTGTATTTTATATATCTACACTCGCCCAGCACCGCCTAACAAGCGCACTGTTGATTCAATTCTCACTGATATGTTGTCTCTTCAAATAACTAAAAGCTCCGTAAACAACGATTAATTAAGGTTTGATTGGCGTTCCGGTATTGGGCACACACGGCGTCTGTTTATCATATAACGTACAAATCTGCATGGGCTTTATAATCACGAATTTGGAAACAGCTTTTGCCACAAAACTGAAACTCCTTTGTCGTGAATTAATATTCGCGCGTTACGCTTTGTTTTCAGTTTAAGTTGTCGTTAGCTGTGAAAATAATCCTGTGTGTCATGCGCGAAAAACTTTCTGTAGACGTACAGGTACATAATGTGTTTTGACAACCCGCTGTTAGCCATGTGTAATATCTTTTATAGAATATATTCTTATTTTCTGTTCCTTGTTTATCGCCGCACTAGGCAATATATCATATATATGACTGAACTGAACTTTATTGACACTCCGACCGCATTCTGCGGCATTAGGGGTACAAGTTTTGATCACAATGTACAACTTAAATATACGGGACAAAAAATTCTGGCATTCTTCTTCGTGAAATTGCTAAATATTTGCTACAAGCGGCGTAAAACCATACACAACACAATTTGTATTATATTTTGAAATAAATGAATTAATCTGTCAGGCTAAGGGCCGGTGGGGTAGCCTAGTGGTAAAAGCGTCCGCTCGTCACGCAGAAGATCCAGGTTCGATTCCCCACATGGGTACAATGTGTGAAGCCCATTTCTGGTGTCCCTCGACGTGATATTGCTGGAATATTGCTAACAGCGGCGTAAAATTATGCTCACACACTCACTCACTCACTGAAATAGTTTGAACTTTGTGAGATATGTTAGAAGCGACTGTGAAATTATTATCAGGCGTATCAGCTTCATGTAGAGTGACTGAGTGTGTTTGGTTTTAAGTCGCTTTTACTAATAGTTCAGCAATATCACTGCGGGGGACACCAGAAATTGGCATCACACATTTTGCCCATGTGGGTAATCAGACCCAGACCTTCAACGTTATGAACGAACGATGTAACCACTAGGCTACCCTAGCTTTATGTAGAACGAGCCCTAGGTCCTTGGTGTAGAGTAACGTTTCGGTCAAACCAAACTTGAGAATTATAACGAGGGCGAAACTGGGATTTGATCTCACGCTCATCGGATTCTTCATCGAACAAGGGACGTAACTTTCTCAGCGACCTGCAGCGCTTTCAGTAACTGGGACACACGCATTCACTAATAAACATTCATAGTTGTTTGTTACTTAATTCATCCATGATTACAGTGAAGTATAGGTCGGAGAGGAGCGAGTGTATGAGTTTATTGTTACGCCGCACTCAGCAATATTCCAGCTACATGGTGGCGGTTTGTAAATAATCTTGACCAGACAATCCAGTGATCAACAGCATGAGCATCGATCTACGCAATTGGGATGCGATGACATGTGTCAACCAAGTCAGCGAGCGTGACCACCCGATCCGTTAGTCGCCTCTTACGACAAGCATGGGTTACTGAAGACCAATTAATTCTAACCCGATCAGAAATATGCCTAGCCAATGTAAACTGAGAGAAAGTATACGGTGGTTCTTATATGTCATTGAACACCGAAAAAAACATTAAATATGGTTGTCTGTAATTATCTCTGTGCTGCAACAGTTGTAGACAGTAATCTGTGATTCCGCGTTAAAACATATTGGTGAAATGAAGATTGTAGTCAGAAATGAATTTGCAGCGACATGCCCCCAGCCATGCTTTAGATATCTAATGTTCATTGCTTTTCAGAGACAGATGTCTAAGATAGCACCAGCAGTTGTGTAATGGGATTGTTTTGAAACTTTAAATGAAGTTATATTTCTAAAAATGAACCCACATTGAAGAATTCTTTGGATGCTGACTAAGCATAAGAACGGTTCACAGTTTGGTTATAATATATATCTTCAGATATTTTCAACTGAAGATCAAACATACGATAAAATGAACTGAGCGGGGTCAGACCAGTCCCAATCTCCATCTAGCTAGCAAAATAAAAGAGATAAGTCAGCCGAAATTTCATTTGCTCACCAGCCTATTTCGAGACAGTACCAGAGTGAGTGAGTAATTTGGGGGTTGCTGGAACATTCATTGGTGCTAGGAGACATTCATCGACAAATAAATTGCAAGCGATCCAATGGATTGTTTTCCTAACCAGGTCCTTGGCATAAGTTTGTTACGTGTTGAGTCCTAAGTTAAAACTAAAGTGAGTGAGTGGGTCAAATTTTACGCCGCACTCAGTAATATTCCAGCTATATGACGGTGGGCTGTAAATAATCGAGTCTGGACCAGACAACCCAGTGATCCAAGGTGTGGTATAATGATGATCACACACAATGTTGGTACCTTAAGAGGGCGGTGGGGTAGCCTAGTGGTTAAAGTGTTCGCTCGTCACGCCGAAGACCCGGGTTCGATTCCCCACATGGGTACAATGTGTAAAGCCCATTTCTGGTGTGATATTGCTGGAATATTGCTAAAAGCGGCGTAAAACTAAACTCACTCACTAGTACCTTGAGATGTCAGTTGTGGTAAGAGGCAAGAGTTGATTCCCATTATATACCTAAGAAAAACATAATTCATAATATTCTCTAAGGCTGATGCTTCTGGAGTCGTCTTTCTTGCACTTCCCAGATCTTTCTGTCTAAATCTAGTGCAAGTCTAAATATGGCACACCACTGCTCCTCACTGACCTTTACAATGTATTACACTTGAGGCATTGTTGCACAATAAATATCATTGCCACTTAACAACCTTAATAAAGGTCACGCCCAGTCACGGAGTACTTTTCCTATTAATGATAGAGTGAGTGAGTTTGTGTTACTGGGAGAGCAGGGACGTTAAGACAAATGGCTAAATTAAGGAGTTTAATGCCCCCATCTCTTGTATGGACATATTGTGGCTTGTTGGAAAGCTTATTGTACCTACTTTAACATAGGCATTGATGCGGTGACCAGATGTGGTCCAGCTTTTCAAAACATCATGTCACGCGACCCCGTTAATGTGCTGAATGGAACTTGGGATCGTTGTCTAGATTTCTTTTGTTTGTGTTCATCATTAAATGAACAGTCCGTGAATATGGAATTAATATAATTAATGAGTGAGTGAGAGAGTTTAGATTTACGCCGCACTCAGCAGTATTCCAGCTATATGGCGGCGGTCTGTAAATAATCGAGTCTAGACCAGACAATCCAGTGATCAACAGCATGAGTATCCATCTGCGCAACTGGGAACCGATGACATGTGTCAACCAAGCCAGCGAGCCTGACCACCCGATCCCATTAGTCGCCTCTTACGGCAAGCAAGGGTTACTGAAGGTTCAATATAACCCGGACCTTCACGGGTATATAATTAATGACTTTTCTCATCAGGTTTGACTTCAGTATATTGCTTTTGGAGGTATATGGAGTGTGAGTAGTTTTACGCCGCCTTTACCATTATTCCAGTAATATCACTGGGACTCCAGTGATTAGGACTCCAGAAATTAGCACATTGTACCCATGTGGGGAATCGAACTCGGGTCGTCGGCGTGACGAGCGAACGCTTTAACCACTAGGCTAACCCCGCCGTCCTAAATGGAGGTACGCACGTAAACCCCGATGTGCCACTGTGTTAATCTAGGTAATGTATGTGCACACCCGTATTTAGGTTCATAGACGCAAACGATATTGAGGTCAATTCTTAGATTCATTATCAAGACAAATAGCCTAGGGACGATGACCCTAGTTGGGTATACTGTAGAGGTTAAAGCCTTGGCCCGTCACTCCGAAAATACCAGCTCCCATGATTTGAATATGTCGGATACCGAGCTACGTTAGCAGTGTGACTTTGTGACTCACTGACTTGGTTGACATATGTCATTGTATCTACTCTGCGTAGATCGATGCTCATGATGTCAATCACTGGTTTGTTTGGTCCAGACTCGATTATTTACACACCGCCGCCATATATTGCTGAGTGGGGCGTTATACAACAAACAAACAAACAAACACTGACTTGACTGATATTATCGTAAACCCAATTGCGTAGAACAATGCTAACGATCCACCATGTTTTTTGTTTGTTTGATTGATGTTTAACGCCGCACTCAGCAATATTCCAGCTATATGGCGTCGGTGTGTAAATAATCTAGTCTGGACCAGACAATCCAGTGATCAACATCACGAGCATCGATCTACGCAATTGGGAACCGATGACATGTGTCAACCAAGTCAGCGAGCCTGACCAACCGATCCCGTTAATCG